AGGATGACTCAGGTCAGAGCAGGTGATCAGGGGTGACTCAGGACAGAGCAGATGATAGAGGCTAGGAGGGGATTGTTTACTGAAGCTAGAGGCAAGAGGGCAAAGAGAACCAGGAAGTTAAGCTTTAAAATGGAGAACAGAGAATAAGAGAGCTGAATATACTGACATACTGATTCTTTGAAGAGAAACTTGGAGTTCACTACATTTAACACCTACTGTTATTGTATTGCAGTCTATCTCTCCCTTTACCTCTAATAATACTTGCTTTATATATCTGGGCGCGCTGATCTTGGATGGATGGATGTTTTTATAGTTTTTATATCCTCTTGTTTAATTATACCCTTTATCAATGTCTAATGACCTTCTTTGTCTTCTTTTACAGTTTTTGACTTAAAGTCTATTTTATCTGACATGGTTACTCCTGCTCACTTGTTTCCATTTGCATGGAATATCTTTTCCCCTCCCTTCACTTTTAGTCTATGTTTGTCTTTAATGGTTAGGTGAGTCTGTTGTAGGCAGTATATAGTTAGGTCTTGTTGTTAATCCATTCAGCCACTCTATATCTTTTAACTGGATAATTTAATCCATTTATATTTAAGGTTATTATTGATACAGAAGGTCTTACTCCTGCCATTTTGTTAATTTTTTTCTGGTGGTTTTATAGATCCTTCATTCCTTTCTTCCTCTTTTATTTATTTCTGTGGTCTGGTGGTTTTCTGTGGTGCTGAGCTTTGTTTCCTTTCTCTTTCTTGTTTGTGCCTCTGCGGTAATTTCTTTCTTTGTGGCTACCATGGGCTAACATTAAAAGTCTTATAATAGAATGTTTTAAGCTGATAGCAACTTAACTTTGGTTGCATTAAAATACTCTAGACTTCTCTCTTTTGTTGCTGTAATTTACTTTTTTACCTGTGATTGTGTTCCTTAGCTACTAATTGTAACTGTCATGGGTTTTGACCATTTTGACTTTAAACCTTCGTACTAGAGGACTGAGAGACTTACATAGCACCATTACATCACTGGGCTAGTCTGAATTTGATTTATAAATTTACCTCTATTGGTGGGTTTTATACTTTTACATCTTTTCATGAAAGTAATTATCTTTTGTTTCCAGTTATACCATTCTCTTAAATATTTCTTGTAAGGCTAGTCTATTGGTGATGGATTTTTCTCAGCTTTTGCTTGTCTGGGAAGCTCTTTATTTTTCCTTCATTGGTAGATGATAGTTCTGCTGGATATAGTATTCTTGGCTAAGAGGTTAGGGTTTTTTCCCAAAAAACTTTCTATATATCATCTCATTCTCTCCTGGCCTACAAGGTTTCTCCTGAGAAACCCAGGGGACAGGGCTGCTGCTTGACCAACTATCAGGCCAAGCATGGGTAGAGCAAGGCCACACAACCTTGCAGTGGTCTGTCTTTGGGGCAGGGTTGCTGCTAGACTGGCTGTCAGGCGCAGTGGTATGTGGCCACAGAAGGGTTGGGTGGTTCTGCAGTGGTCTGAGGGGTGGAACCACTGTAGGACTGGTTGTTGGGCTGGATATGGGTGTGCGTGAGTTCAACTGGCCAGCTAGCTGTGCAGTGCAGGTACGTACTGGTGAGGGGACTGGCCAGCAGTTAGGCAGTTTCACCCCTGTGCAGGTTTGGCTCTTCCTGGGGTTGGGAGGGTAGTGTGCCACATGGGTGCAAGTGCAGAGGTCTCAGTTGTTCCATCTGGCTAGGCTTCAGGCAGCTAGGATCATAGTGCTACAGGCACCTATGCAAACATGGTAGAGTGATGGCAGGGCTACAGGAATGGAAAAAGTCCATTCCTATACTGGACCACAGGGAAGGGCACATTCTAGTAGTAGGTCCAGTTTCAAGATGGTACTGAGTAGCAGCAGCTTAGGATGTGAGGGTCGGGGGCAGGGCGTGCTCAAGGTGAGCTCCTACTCTAGGCACAGTAACTGCATGAACTCCTGGCTACTCTCCAAGCTGGATTCAGGGCCTGTGAGGACTGGGGGACTCTCCTATAGCAAGAATTTCTGGCATTTATGGTAGCAATAGGGATCACTGGTGATCTCCAGCTTACTTTTTCCCCTTAAGAAGCCCCCTCTGGCTCCAGGCTGATCCTGGTAGGGGAGACAGTGTGGCAGAAGCAGAATGCCTTGCTCCCCTCTCTATGGTGCTGCCCTGGGCTTTTGTCTTCCACAGGGATTTTGCTGTTCCCCTGGTGCTCTCCAGAGTACTTCTTTGGTCATTTTAATTGAAATATAGTTGTTTATTCTTTGTTTTGGTCCCTTTTTGTGGAGAGGATGGGCTTTAGGTAGCTCAATTTGGCCATCCTGCTGACATCACTCCAACTTATCTAGGGCTATTTTAATATTACTATTATTATTATTTGAGACAAGGTCTGGCTGTGTCAACCAGGCTGAAGTACAGTGGTGCATTCTCAGCTCACTACAACCTCTGCCACCCAGGCTCAAGCTGTCTTCCCATCTCAGCCTCATGAGTAGGTGGGACTACAGGCACGTGCCACTGTGCCCGGTTAATTTTTGTATTTTTTGAAGAGACGAGGTTTTGCCATGTTGCCCAGGCTGGTCTCAAACTCCTGGGCTCAAGCCATCTGCCTGCCTGGGCCTCCCAAAGTGCTGGGATTACAGGCGTGAGCTCCTGGCTGCTATTATTTTTAAATTAATAAATACATTTTTTAATTTTTAAATTTTAATTTCTAGTAAGATAAATATTAATCCCCATATAAACAAAAGCTGTCTGGGATTCTCAATAATTTTAAAAAATATTAAAGGATCTTGAGACCAAAACATTTTGAGAACCACTGCTCTAGATATTAAAATAACAATTAAATATAGTCTAAGGGTATTATTAACAACTTTATGCCACTAAATGTGATAATATAGACAAAATGGAAAATTTCTTTAAAAACCAAAATAGAAAATTTGAATAAGCCTAACTCTTTTAAAGAAATTGAACCCTTTATTTAAAACTTTCCCATGAGGGCTGGGCACAGTGGCTCACGCCTATAAACCAGCACTCTGGGAAGTCGAGGTGGGAGGATTGCTTGAGCTCAGGAGTTCAGGATCAGCCTAGGCAACATAGCGAGACCTGCTCTACTAAATATCAAAAAAAGTTAGCCAGGTGTGGTGGTGTGCACCTGTAGTTCCAGCTACTTGCAAGGCTGAGGCAGGAAAATCGCTTGAGTCTAGGAGATCAAGGGTTCAGTGAGCTATGATCACGCCACTGTACTCCAGCATGGGCAACAAAGTAAGACTCTGTCTCAAAAATAAAAACCAAAAATCAAAAATAAAACCCTCCCACAGGGAACACTGTAAACCTAGATGACTTGATTGGTGAACTCTTCCAATCATTTAAGGAGGAAATAACCCAAATCTTACACAAATTCTTACAGAAATAGACATGTAGAGAACACTCGCAATTCATATAACCTTAATTCATGAAGCTGACCAGCATATTACAAGAAGAGAAAATTATAAGCCAATTTCTTTCATGAATGTGGTAGAAATTCTAAACTAAATATTAGCGAATATGTTTAAAAATCTATATAAAAAGATGATACATCTTGGCCAAGTTGAGCTTGTCCCAAGAATTCAACGTTGCTTTATCATTCAAAACTTATTCAATGTAATTCATCTTCCTAACAGAAAAAAGGAGAAAAGCAATCATCTCAATATATGGGGAAGAATAGCATGTGATAAAGTTCAACATACACTAATGATTAAAAAACAGCAATGAGAAACCCTCTTAGCCTGTTTTCTATAGGAATAGAAGGCAGTTGCTTTAGTTTGATGAGTAGTATCTGCATAAATCTTACCAAAAAAAATTACACTTAATGAAAAAATGCTGAAAGCATTCTCTTTGATGGCAGGATTACAGAGAATGAAAGCTTACTATCATCACTGCTTTTTAGCATGTCCTAGAGATTCTAGCCAAAGCATTAAGGCAAGAAAAGAAATAAAAATTGGAAGGATAGGAAAGAAGAAATAAAATTCTCATTTTACAGATGACATGATTCTGTGTGAATAATAATACATTTACAAATACAATAGTCCTCTGTTATCCATCAGAGATACATTTCATTTTTTTTTTCTTTTGAGACCGAGTTTCACTCTTGTCACCCAGGCTGGAGTACAGTGGCGCCATCTCAGTTCACTGCAACCTCAGCCTCCAAGTTCAAGTGATTCTCTTGTCTCAGCCTCCTGAGTAGCTGGGATTACAGGTGCCTGCCAGCATGCCTGGCTAATTTTTATATTTTTAGTAGAGACAGGGTTCCACCATATTGGTCAGGTTGGTCTCAAACTCCTGACCTCAGGTGATCCACCCACCTTGGCCTCCCAAAGTGCTGGGATTACAGGAGTGAGCAACTGTGCGATACCTTTCAAGACTTTCAGTGGATGCCTGAACCTACAGATAGTGTAAAACCCTATATAAATACTATTTTTTTCCTATAAATACATATCTATGCTAAAGTTTAACTTATAATTAGGCACAGTAAGAGATTAACTATAATACTAATAACTAATAATAAAATAGAACAGTTATAACAAAATGCCAGCATCACTACTCTTGCATTTTGGGGCCATTATTAAGTAGAATAAGTATTACTTGAATATAAACACTGTGATATCACAACAGTGCATGATTTGCATCTCAGGAGGGACAGAATGGAACAGCACGAAATTTTACCACACGAATCAGAGCAGTGCACAATTGAAAATGTATGAATTGTTTATTGATGGAAATTTTCATTTAATATTTTCAGACCACATTTCACCATGGGCTACTGAAACCACAGAAAGCAAAACCACAGATAAGGGGGAACTACTGTAATGACTTGGATTCCGTAATGTTTACTGATGGTTGATAGCATTTCTTGTCATTAAGTTCATTCCTAGAATGTGGAAATCTCTTCAGTATGTGGAAGCACTTTGTCATTCCTCAAGTACAGGCAGCAAAGATCTTGCTTTTGCTATTACTCTTTTTTCTCTGCAGGTCCTATCTAACTCCTGTACGGGATGAGGAAGCAGAGTCTTTACGGAAAGCACGCTCCAGACAAGCTCGGCAGACACGAAGGTCTACTCAAGTGAGTGTGGCTTTTTTTTTTAAATGTCATTTTGTCTATCTACCCTTCTTTTGGAGGTATGATCAAAACACACTACAATATCCATGTTCATCTGCTGATTTGAACAAACACACACAAACACACACACACACACACACACGGCTTGGCATGGTGGCTCATGCCTGTAATCCCAGCAATTTGGGAAGTCAAGGAGTTGAGACCAGGAGCACTCCTGACTTGAGGTACGAGTTCGAGACCAGCTTGGCCAATGTGGTGAAACCCTGTGTCTACTAAAAATATGAAAATTAACCAGGCATGGTGTTGAGTGCCTGTGATTTCAGTTACTCGGGAGGATGAGGTAGGAGAATTGCTTGAACCTGGGAGGCAGAAGTTCCAGTGAGCCAAGATTATACCACAGCCCTCCTAGGCAACAGAACAAGACTCCGTCTCAAAAAAACAAGACAAAATAAAACACATACATGAAAATGACTGCCCTATTCCAGCCACAGTCTTAAAAACTTTCATTGTGTTGAATCTTACACTACATAGAACCAAATTAATTTACAGCTACATCTACCCATTCTCACCAATATTCCTCCAGACTTAGAACAGGTTTATCTCCTTCCCTTCACAAGATTAATTATTCCACTTGTGCTCAAAGACCTTAAGAACCCCCGTACATCCCTATATCCCTACTACATTTTAAGAATCCCTAAGGGAAAAGAGTTTGGCAGTTCCTCAAAATTTTAAACGTAGAGTTACCATTTGACTCAGCAGTTCTGCTTAAGAGAAATGAAAACATATATTCATATAAAAACTTGTGTATAGGTGTTTGTAATAGTATTATTCATAATGGCCAAAAAGTAAAAATAAGCCAAATGTCTATTAACTAATGAATGGGTAAATAAAATGTGATATATCCATACAATGGAATACCATTTGGCAATAAAAAGAAATGAAGTACTGATACATGTTACAACATGGATGAACCTTGAGAAAACATTATGCTAAGTGAAAGAAGCCAGACAAAAACACTCCATATATTATATGATTCCATTTATATGAAATATCCCAAATAGGCAAATCCAAAGAGACAGAAATTAGATTAGTGCCAGGGCTAGGGTGAAGGCAGAATGGTGAGTGTGTGGTTTCTTTTTGGGGTGATGAAAATGTTATGAAATTAGATGTGGTAATAATTTTATAACTGTGAATAAACTAAAAACTAAGGAATTGTGTACTTTCAAATGGTGAGTTATATGATATAAGGATTGTATTTTAATAAAGATGTTACAAAAGGAATCCCTGAGGGAGTCATTGAAGCAGTTTAAGGGAATATGACATAGTCTACATTATGTGTTAGAAAAATCACCCTGCAGATAATTGATGGGAATGGTAGGTAGAGGTACGTTTGCCAAGCCTGGAAGCAAGAAGACTTGCTGGGAAGCTGTATTGTAGTCCAAGCTGTATTGTAGTCCCAGGAAATTACAAAGCAATGAAATCAAGTTGTAATGACAATGAGAATGGAGAGAAGGCTATGAATTTCTTATTTAAAGAAGCAAAGAAAGATGAGCCCCTGAAGCAGGATGAAAAGAAGCAGCAAGAGCGGTGAAAAGAAAATCAGAAAATAGTAGCAGCATGGAAGTAAATGAAAAGTCCATTTCCAGTGAAAAGGAGAAGTTCCACAGTTTTGAATACTACAGAGGTCAAGTAGCAAATTTGATCACTGGAAAAGAGACATTATATATGGCAGCAAAAACACGCTTGTTGTCTTCCTTGACTCTCCCAAAGTAGGTTATATATTCTTCCTTTATTTTTACTTGATGATTGTCTATTTCATCCGCTAGAATGTAATCCCCATGAGGACCAAGACTGACTGTTTTTTTGTTTTGTTTTATTGTGGTGAAATATATCTAACATAAAACTTACCAGTTTTACCATTTTTAAGTTTACACAGTTTAATGGCATTAAGTACATTTACATCGTTGTATAACTATCACCACTATTCATCTCTAGAACTTTCTTCCTCTTCCCAAACTGAAGCTCTGTATCCATTAAATAATTACTCCCCATTTCCCTCTGGCAACCCCGCTTCCACTTTCTGTCTATGAACTTGACTGCTAGGAACCTCAAATAAGTAGAATCATATCGTAGTTGTCCTTTTGTGTTGTATTTTACTTAGCATAGTTATCAAGGTTCATCCATGATACCTGACACATCATGATACATGACACATTGTAGCATGTGTCAAAGTTCCTCCCTTTTAAAGGCTGAATATTTCAGCCTTTTATGGATACTGCATTTTGTGTATCCATTCATCATCTGTCAGTAGACATTGGGTTGCTTCCACCTTTTGGCTATTTAATGCTACTATGAGAATGGCTATACAAATATCTCCCTGAAACCCTGCTTTCAATTCTTTTGGGTATATACCAAGAAATGGAATTTGCTGGATCATACAGTAATTCAATTTTTAATTTTCTGAGGAACTCCCATACTGTTTTCCTTAGCGGCTGTACCATTTTATGTTCCCATCAGCAGTGCACAAGGGTTCTAATTTCTCCACATCCTCACCAATATTTGTTTTTTTTGTTTGTTTGTTTTTATGAGATGGAGTTTCGCTGTTGTCATGCAGGCCAGGGTGCAATGGTGTGATCTTGGCTCACTGCAACCTCTGCCTCCAGGGTTCAAGCAATTCACCTGTGTCAGCCTCCCAAGTAGCTGGGATTACAGGCGCCCATCACCACACCTGGCTAATTTTTGTATTTTTAGTAGAGACGGTGTTTCACTATGTTAGCCAGGCTTGTCTTGAACTCCTGACCTCAAGTGATCTACCCACCTTGGCCTTTCAAAGTGCTGGGATTACAGGTGTGAGCCACCACTCCCAGCCTGGTATTTTTGCTAGTAACCATCCTAATGGGTGTGAAAAAGAAGACTGACTATACTTTTGCTCATCTTTTCCACCATCATACAGTAAATAAATCACTATATATTTATTGAGTAAATAAATGAGTGAGAAATAAATGATATGGGAAGATAAATTGCTCTGGATTGATTTCAAGTTTGTTTATGAAGGAATGGGAAGAGATGGGGAAGTTGCTGGAGAGGGGCATAGAATTGAAGGTGGGAGAGACAGGAACATAGAACCGTCTTAGAGGGAAAGATTCAGTAGAGAGGGAGTGAAGGTCCATGTCAAAACTTGAATAGATCTTTGAACTCCTTGAAATGTGTACATAATTTTTGAGGAGATTTTATTAGATTCTCAGTAGTCTTCATGAGATTCTCAAAGGGACCACTGACTCCCAAAGAAAGTAAAATCTAAGCTTCTTAGCATAGCTTACAAAATCTGTTATGACCTAGCCTCTGCCTGCTTTCCTCAAATCACCTATCCTCATTCTCCCTCTCTCCTCCCACTTTCCTTTTTTTGTTGTGTGCTTCATCTTTGCTAAGTTACCTACATATTTCTAAATCATCCATGGCCTCTCTCGTTTCTGTATCTTTGTACAGGATGCCTCTACCTATAATGCCTTTTCTCCCTCCCCCTACCCAAGTTCTTTTTACTCTTTAGAACCCAGTGTTAGGTATTCCTCTTATATATTCCTGTGTTTCTGTTTTAATACTTACATTCTCTTATTATACTGGTCTGTTTTCTTATGTCTTTTCTGCTAGACTAAAAGGTTCTTGACAGTAATCATTTGATTTGTCTTTGTAGTTCTAGTGCCTAAAGACACCTAATTCTTTATTAACAGAATGAGTAAGTAAATGAATTAATAGTAAAAAAGCCAGGTGTGGGGAGGGGAAGCAAGTTGTGGATACAGTACCTGATCAACTACCTTCCAGCTTTGGAACTTCCTTCTTCTGAGGACTCACGCACATAACTACTTGAGTTGGAATCAACTCATGTTCTTTCTAAACTCCTTTTCTCCCTTCTCCTGTAGTTTTGTCATCATTTGCCTTTCTTCTGTCTTGCTGCCCCTATGACCCTGCGGGGCGAACGTTAATTGTGGGAATATCCATATATGATTCCTAGAGTGACTTGGGAATTGATGTTAGAGAAAAGCTAGTCTAGGAGTTTTAAGAGGTTGTGTTGTTGTTATTCTAGCCTAGCTCTGAATTTTCATCTTGTTGAGCTAGGTTTTTCTTTTTTTAAGTGAAATTTTTTTCCCAGTATCTGCTGTTTAGAGAATCTCTGTTCGTAACCATTTGATCTTGGGAGGGTAGGGACCTTTCAAATAAAGATAAGGAGAACTATTTGGTATGGAAAAAGTACATCTATAACAGGCAGACATCAATGTTGACCTATTTTCTGGAGATCAAACTAGAAAAACTAAAGTATTACATTCAAAATATACCTAGACTCAGGCCTGGGTTCTTTGTACAGTGAGATGCTTATTTTAAGCATATATTGCTTGAAGTGACCTCATTATGCATTTTGGGGGGCTTCATTTTGGTATTTGATAACTAGTAGATCTTTTTGGGAATACTGCTGCTCAATCAAGAGTTATTCCATGGTTAGTGTGAATCAGCCCTGATCTTATGATATTTTCCCAGGGTGTCACCCTAACGGACCTTCAGGAAGCAGAAAGGACTTTCAGCCGGTCGAGGGCAGAGAGGCAAGCTCAGGAGCAGCCTTGTGAGAAGCCCACAGACACTGAAGGGCTTGAGGGGAGCCCTGAGAAGCATGAGCCCTCAGCAGTTCCAGCAACAGAAGCTGGGGAGGGCCAGCAGCCCTGGGGCAGGAGTCTGGATGAAGAGGTGAGCTCATTTTTGCTGGCATGTACTGTGCTAAAAGCAGGGTAATTAGTTTGGGGAGTGTCTTCTTCACTGATAGTTCAAAGGCTATGTTCTACCTTGCAATGGACAACTTACTCTGTATGGCTGTCTTTAGTTGGGAAACCTGTGTGACAAAAATTTAGAGGATGTTGGTCCTTAAATGACCATTTTTTTTTCTTCTGAGAGTTCACTGATGCTTTTGAATAAATGTCCTTCTATTCTAAAAAGAGAGATCATAGTATGACAAAATGCAAATAAAAATATAAGCATGTATTGAGTGTTTACTTTACTCAATACATGCTTACTTTATGCCGGCACTATTTTAAGTATACTTCTTATGTATTAATGCATTTAATCCTCATAACAACCCTCTGAGGTAAATATTACTATTTCTATTTTATATATGAGGAAATTGAATCACAGAGGTTGAGGAATTTGCCCAACATTTCACATAGCCAAGAAGTGGTTAAGCCAGAGTTTGAACATAGGCAGCCTGACTCCACAGCTTGCTCTCTTAACTGCTAGTGTATTGTTTTTCAAACTCTTATAACCTAAGGGCTTACAAAGCACTCATGAGTGTCACCGTTGGGAAGGACATTTTGATTTATGTTTCATTTCTCTAGTGGAGTTGGTAGTCAAAGGTATAAGTTTATATTTAGGGTGAACATAACTCGTGGTTTATCTAAGATGGTTCCAATTACAACTGTTGTCTTTGTGTAATTATCATTACCACTCCTTTGCACTCTCAAAAGTGTCCCAGTTTGGACAGATAAATATTATGGTCACTGTGGTTATAGAGGAAAATAATCTCCTTCTTGCTTTGACTCTGAATGGCTAGATTCCATAAACTGAAGTTCTATTTTGTATTTTGTTTGTTTTATAAGCTACTATTTATTGAGTACCTATTACCAGCTATTCTTCTAAGCACCTAATGCACATTTTCTTATTTAATCCTCATAATCCTCTCTGAAGAAGGTGTTATCTCTGTTTTATAGATGAGGATGTTATGGCTCAGAGAAGCTAAGTAACTTATTCAAGGTCACACAGCTAGTAAGTGCTGAAGCTAGAATTTGAACAAAGATCTGTCTGACTCCAAATGTACTACATTTTATTGTATGTGTCTTTATAAATCACAAAAATGTGTACAATCTCTATGTCATAAATTTAATGTGTAGTAAGGATTTATCGATCTCTGAGTCTTCCATAAACCACGTTAAGACTTATTGTTAGGCTCTATCTGTCCTAACTCTCAGGTTGGAAAAAAAAAAAGACAACAAAACACAATTGCTTGAACCCGGGAGGCAGAGGTTGCAATGAACCAAGATCGCACCACTGCACTCCAGCCTGGGCAACAGAGCAAGATTCCATCTCAAAAAAAGAAAAGAAAAAGAAAACAACAAAACAAAACTACAAAAAGGAAAATGGGAACTTTAGAAAGTTTCAATAAGCCTGGTTATGGCAAGCTAGTAGAGTATTCAGAACTCGGCAGGATACATTTCTTCTCTGTTCTCAGATAATCCCTACATTCTGCTGCTTAATGCTCCTGATCTTTTTGTTTCCCTACATAAACCTTGCCTTTCAGCACTCCATCTTAAAAAGGCCATCATTCTTGTTTTCATTACAAGATCAAAGTAATTTTTTTTACACAGTTAATGCTGTGTAGTACCCTTTGGTCAATTGATGAGTAATTCGCTTGAACTGCTCTCAACATGATGGGATTCTCAGAGTAGGAGTCTAGCAGCTGTTTTTTTTCTGTCTAATTAACTGACTTTAGCTTATTCACTTATTGAGGACCTATTCCCAGGTACTCAATATTGATCATCATCTACTCATAAGCCTCTTAATATAGAAAAAAAAGCATTTTGTATAATCCTGCTGTCCTTATCCTTTAGATGGACTTGACTTCTAGTATCTCATGTTGTGGATTATTTCCAGCCTATCTGTCATCGCCTGAGGTGCCCAACTCAGCCAGACAAACCCACCACGCCAGCATCTCCTTCTACATCAAGACCCTCACTCTACACCAGTTCCCATCTGCTATGGACAAATAGATTTTCAGTCCCTGATTCTGAGAGTTCAAAGACTACCACAAATACTACAACTGCAAAGGAAATGGACAAAAATGGTATGTAGAGCTTCAAAAGACACAGGCCCCTCCACAGTGCACATCCCCCAGATTCTTAAAGTTCATACTTTATTTTATCTCTGGCCAGAGAATCAAGAAGCAGATTTGGATGAGCAGTATTCTAGAAGGCTGTCCGTCAGAGAGAGGAGGCGGCCCAAGGAACGACGAAGAGGTACAGGCATCAATTTCTGGACAAAGGATGTAAGTGGATTGGTGTGTGCTGAGGCATATCGTATTACTCTTGGCCACCATCCTTTCAGTTGAGTTTAAAAGAAAGAGTCCTACATGGTGCCGTGAATCTTGCAGATTCTCAGGAAGTATTACTGAGGAAAAGAGAAGAAAGACCTAACCAGTGTGGGACTCATTTGGTATGTTCCTGCTAGATTGCCAGTATCTAGTACAGTGCTAAGCACATGGCAGGCACTCAGTAAATAATTGGCAAAGAATTAAAAAACTGGAAATATACAACAGCCATATAAACAAGTATAACAAGTGAATAAGCTTGTCAAGTTTTAGTAGTCCTTCCTAATATTCCCTGAATGTCATGTAGTGAGTCAACAATATCTTAATGCCACATATGAGCAGAGATTCTAACTAAATATTGTAGGAGTACTACAAGAAGTTCAAGGAACTTAAAACCTCTAAGTAATACAAGGTCACTTAGTTTTACTCTTTTGGAGAAAAAACAGAACAAATAACATAAAATAGATGAACTTTGGCTTTCAAATAAAGACAGATATACCAATGTTTACTAACTACAAATACACATTCAGTAGTTCCATTCATCCTCTTCCATATCTTGTTTGGTACCCTTCTCATTCAACCTTGTTATTGGCATTTTAAAGAACAAGTGGCCAATAACTTGGACAAGAGGACCTGCCTACCAATGACTCATTTGAAAATTGGACAAACTTTATTCAGTGAGACAAGAAATGAGACAGTAATAGTCATCTATTATAAATTATTTTTAGATAAAAGTATTTTATTGTTATAGGGCCAAATTGATAAGTATTGACAAAGATGAAATTAAGTCTGTCTGTCTGTCATCTGTCTTAAAGATATCCCTTTTCCGGTCGGGCACGGTGGCTCACGCCTGTAATCCCAGCACTTTGGGAGGCTGAAGCGGGCGGTTCACCGGGTCAGGAGATTGAGACTATCCTGGCTAATACGGTGAAACCCTGTCTCTACTAAAAATACAAAAAATTAGCCAGGTGTGGTGGCAGGTGCCTGTAGTCCCAGCTACTTAGGAGGCTGAGGCAGGAGAATGGCGTGAACCCAGGAGGCAGAGCTTGCAGTGAGCCAAGATCGGGCCACCGCACTCCAGCCTGGGCTATAGAGTGAGACTCCGTCTCAAAAAAAAAAAAAAAAAAATCCCTTTTCCAATTGTGGTCTATTTGACTTTTTAGACTACAGGTGACATTTCTAAATTGCCTGCCTGTGATGGCTGTGAAAAGTAGCAGTAACAGAGCATCACTTGGAAGTCAATTCTCATTGCCCATGTTTGAAATGCCAAGATGCATAATTGATGGGATCTGACCTTGTTGCTTTCAAGGATGTCTCTGACGATGAGCCTCTTGATTTTCTTCCTTTTTCTTTTTTAGGAGGATGAAACTGATGGCTCTGAAGAGGTCAAAGAAACATGGGTAAGTGACAAACCAGTGAGGCTTGTCTCTTGAGAGCATAGTCTTGCTCTTGTATATAATTTTAGTAGAAGAAAGGGCAAGACTTATGCAGATTTTAGTTGAGAGGGAGTTTGGAGATAGACATTCCTCTAAGAGATGGGGCAGGTGTTAGTTTGTGGTACTGTTTTCTCATGTGGTGTAACAACGCCTGTGCTCTTGAACCAGTTTCCTACATTTTTCTTTGCCTGCTGCCAATCTTTCACCCTGTTATAGGATCCATCATTTTCTCTCTTCTGAGTATGTTATTGGATTATATGAAATACTTTGAAATCTTTGAATGAAAAGTGATACCAGTTCCTTTTTGGATCCACACTAATAGAGAGGGACATAAATGTGGAGAATGTAAAACATCAGACAGTCCCCAAGTCATTTATATTTGACTTTGAGATAAGATTAAACATCTGGCATCTTATATAACTCTGACCTTTTAAGGCCTGACATCCAACTCTTCCCTGCAGTGAAAGGCCTAAGTTCACCTTTTCCGAAGATACTCCAGGCTCCTGTAAGCCACTCAGACATGATTGGTGGTGGTTTTCTTTTCAGTACTGTTTTCCAGGAAGGAAGGAAATTGGTTTTGACTAAATTATTTGAAATACACATGCTTTTCTATTGAAATTAAGTAAAAAGATGACCTTTTTGTATCCTGCAACTTATGGGAAGTATGTTCTCAGAGTATATTTAATAACCTATACTGAAAATTAACATCTAACTCATCATTAGCAGAGAAGATATAAATAATATACTGTCATTTAACTGCCTATATTTTTGTCTAGATCCAAAACAGACAATAGTAGCCTTCCAGAAAGTAGTGTCTTTAATGACTAATGGTGACATAGGTGAGAATTGCCTGTCCTTGGTTGAAGCTGGGGCAACTTCATAAAGGCAAGCTGTGTGGTGTGGAAATAGTATATAGAGGTTCCTTGGAGCAAGAGTGTGTGCATGTGTGTATGTGTATAAATTACAGCAATTCTTAGTTTCTTCAAGGGGCTTGGAAAGGCTTTTGGAGGTAGGAAGAGTGAATACAGGAAAGTTCCTTTGGGGAATTATGACTCTAAAGAATATGTAACTCAGGAAATATAACTCAGAAGATCTGAGTTATAGATTATAGAGTACTGAAATGGAACATTATCCATACAGAATTACATAGGCCATTTAAATCCAGGGAATTGCAAAAGGGAAGTTTTTGTTGTCTAAGAATGTCTTTTGCCAGTGAAAATTCTTTTCTCTAGTTTTCTAATCTTCTTGGCAGTGGAAAATCCTAGCCTACAGGGTACCAAGTAAGGAAAATTAAGATGATCTTGATCTTAATCTTGATCTCTAGGAAGCAGTACTTCCTAGAGAATTTTACTTTAAGACTGTTGACTTGAAAGTATGAAGAAAAGCAGAGACTGTTGCAGTTTGATGTGAAAGGCATTTGTCAGACTAAAAATACTCCACACATCCAATTGCATAAGGCATTTACTAGTGTTTACCATGTGTCAAGAAAACAACAATGTGAATCAAAAAGAATAAACAGCCCAGTATCTCTGGACTGGTACATTTGAATTTATGCAGGTAAGCTAGGGATTGCTATAAGAAATATATTCCAAGTTCCAATCTCCAGCCTCGCCAATAGTGCAGAAAGAAAGGCTGATAATGAATCAGCATAGGGTGAGGCATCCTTTTTGTCAAAGTCTTATATTTGCTTGTTTCATTTATTTCAGTTAAATTCTTAACTGTTTTTCTCCCTTGAGCACTCTCTCCTAATGCTAGCAGGCATGATGCCGTTATCTATATGGGCCTACAGAGCCACATGCCTCATCATGACCCAGTGTAAATTCCTACATTTCTACCTCAAGACAATCAGTAGTATCTTATGACCACCTCTCTACCCTAAATCCATTTTCATCCATCAGGCAGTATAGTTTACTCAGCTCTGCAACAACAAATGAGCCAGTCAGAGTGGGGGGCATTCTATTGAAATGGTGCTGTTAACTAATCAGCATGGATACAGTTGAGAAGCCAGGGCAGCTCTTTCCTTTTTTGGTTTTTGGTTCAATAAAACTATACCTGCTATTGAGGTCATGCCGACTTCCTTCTCTTCCCTAGCCCACTCCTTAAGAGTGATAGTATCTATTATTTTTAAAGTTATCTCTTCCCAAGACTCTAATATCTTTTTTTTTTAACTGAAATATAATTTACAATTAATGCACAGATTTTAAATATAGTGTTTCCTGGGTTTTGACACTTCTATGTACCAGCATAACCACTACTCAAATCAAGATACAGAACTTTTCCATCACCTTAAAACATTTCATCATTAATGCTCAAGAATAAGCAATACTAATTTATGGTGATAGAAATCAGAAGAGTGGTTGCCTCTCAGGACAGAGAATTGAATGGAAAAGATAGAAATCAACCAGTAATAATGTTTAATTTTTTTTTTTGAGACAGGGTCTTGCTCTTTCACCCAGGCTGGAATGCAGTGGTGCAGTCATGGCTCACTGTGGCCTCAACCTCCCAGGCTCAAGTGATCCTACTACCTCAGCATCCCAAGTAGCTGGGACTACAGGTGCAAGCCACCACGCCCAGCTAATTTTTGGAGTTTTTCTAGAGACGGGGTTTCACCATGTTGCCCAGGCTGGTCTCGAATTCCTGGGCTCAAACAATCCTCCTGCCTTGGCCTCCCAAAATGTTGGGATTATAGGCATGAGCCACAATGCCCAGCCAATAATAGTTAATTTTAATGCTAGAAAGGAAGCTTTAATGGTTATTATCTTTATCTTATGCCTCCAGTCAGAGTTAGACCTAAATGATTCAAAATACCTATGGTTTTTTTCCCCCCTCTTCTTAAAGATTTCAAAAGAAGATTGTTTAATACTTCACTTATATAGCAGTGACAACAGCATGGTTTAGGAGACCTTTCTGTTGTTTAAACTGAATCTCTATTGAGGTCATTGAAGTTCGTTTCCTTTTTTATATAACAAGAAAAATGTAACCAACATTTATGTACAGGTAAGATATATGGTCAGGAATGGCCATAATGTTTGCTGTCAATAGAATATTTGGTCAGGGAAATGCAAATCAAAACCACAATGAAATAGATCATCTGATCTCTTAGAATGGCTGTTATCAAAAAGACAAAAAATAACAAAACCTAGTGAGGATGAAGAGAAAAAGAAACTCTTAATACACTATTGGTGGGAATATAAATTATTGTAGCCATTATGGAAAACAGTATGGAGGTTCCTCAAAAACTAAAAATTGAACTACCATATGATTCAGCAGTCCCACTACTGGGTATTTATCCAGAGGAAAGAAAAACAGTATATCAAAGAGATGATGCTCCCTGGTGGTCTAGTGGTTAGGATTTGGTGCTCTTGCTCTCTCTTATGCTCTGTCTCTCTCCCGCTCTTTCTCTCTCTCAGTCTCACTCTCTCTGTGTCTTTCAAAGAGATATCTGCACCCCTATGTTTATTGCAGCACTATTCACAATAGCCAGGACATGGAATCAACCTAAATGTCCATTAATAAATGAATAGATAAATTAAATGTGGTATATGTACATAGTGGAATACTATTTAGCCATAAAGAAAACTGAAATTATGTCATTCACAGCAACATGAATGATCCTGGAAGCCATTGTGTTAGGTGAAATAAGTCAGTCACAGAAAAATAAGTACCTCATGTTCTCACTCATATGTAGGATCTCAAAAAGTTGAGCTCATGGAAGTAGAGAGTAGGATTATGGTTACTGGAGTCTGGAAAAGGGGGACAGTCAGAGGTTGGTTAACAGATATAAAATTACAGGTAGGGGAATAAGTTCTAGTGTTCTGTAGCACTAAAGGGTGAATATACTTAATGATAATTTATTGTATATTTTCAAATATTTAGAAGAGAGGATTTTGAATGTTTCCAACACAAAGAAATTATTTTTGGTGATAGATATGCTGATTACCTTGATTTGATCATTACATATTGCATATATGTATTGAAATATCACTTTGTACCACATAAATACGTACTATTATAATGCATCAATTTAAAATTTTTCAGAAGAGAGTATGTGATAGACTAGTCATGCATTGCTATGCTGGGGACAGCAAGGAACATGCTTAGAAGGCTGGGGACCCTACTTAAGCCCAACATAGTACATAATTTTAGTCCGAACCCATCCCCATTGGTAAATCCATGCACCAGTGAAACTAACATGAATATTTAAAATTGGCATCTTAGCACCTGCTTGACAGATGTGTTTAAAAACAATTCTGTTTTGTTTATCCACATTACGTATATGACAGTCTCTGAGAATCTTAATAGATCCTTTGTCTTTCTAAATAAAAAATAATCTGCATCTTAATTTGAGGAATAGGGTTATTCTAATTATATCTGAAAACGCTTTTATATTCAGCAGTGTGTTTGCTGTTTTCTTTACTATAGTAGTAATCACATAGAATGTTTGCCCTGGAGGGAACAAGCATAGGTACACCACAGAAGGTAATGACCATTGGATTATTTCCATCTTTTTTAACCTGCATCTTTGGCCTGGATTCCATTTTCTTTACATTGAATTTTATCTATTGCTTTCTTACTGTTTTCCCTGTTTACTCTGGAGCTGTTTTCCAAGCCAATCCTGTTGTATAATTGAATTTATCACTAGAGGGCACAAGTGGTCAACAGAAAAGATGTTGGTGCACAGGCAGAATGGTGCCCTAAAGAAGCTGAGCAAAAGACAAATTGCTTTTGTTTTAAAGGAATTGTTGAAAGACCCAGTTCAATGTAGTAAAGGTACTTGCCTCCCAGCTTTTGGTATCATAGGATTGGAAGAGAATCTAGAGATATCTTGGGTTAGGAACCTCATTTTACAGTTAAGAAAACTGAGGCCCAGAGAAATTAAGAATTATTTGGGCATGATATCTCTGCTAGGTGAGCAACCTATACCTTTTTTCAGGGAACCTCTTTGTTTTACTATAGTGAGGCAA